TATCTCGTACATGACCCATAGCTAAAACATTATCCATGACTCGCACATGAATCATATCTCGCACATGACCCACATCTAACACATTATCCATGATTCGCACATGACCCATAGCTAGTACATGACCCATAGCTAGAACATTATCTATGACTCGCACATGACCCATGGCTCGCACACGACGAATAGCTAGCACATGACTCACAGCTAGCACATGATCCATGACTCGCACATGACTCATTTCTCGTACATGACCCATGGCTCACACACGACCTATAGCTAGCACATGACCCACAGCTAGCACATTATCCGGGACTCGCACATGACCAATAGCTAGCACATGGTCCATAGCTAGCACATTACCCAGGACTCGCACATGACTCATATCTCGCACATGACCCATAGCTAGAACATTATCCATGACTCGCACATGGCCCATAGCTAGCACATTATCCATGGCTCGCAAATGACTCGTATCTCGCACATGGCCCACATCTAGCCCAATATCTACGACTCTCACATGACCCATGGCTAGCAAATTATCCATGACTGGCACATGACCCATGGCTAACACATGACCCACAGCTAGCACATTATCCACGACTCGCACATGGCCCATAGCTAGCACATGACCCACAGCTAGCCATTATCTATGACTCTCACATGACCAATAGCTAGCACATGACCAACAGCTAGCACATTATCCATGCCTGGCACATGACCCATGGCTAACACATGACCCACAGCTAGCACATTATCCATGACTTGCACATGACGCATGTCTAACACATGACCTATAGGTAGCACATTACCCATGACTCGCACATTCCAACAGCTAGCATGACTCCATGACTCCAACATGACCCATGGTATTTTCGTAATATCCTTATTATTATAATACATCTTTTCCTCCCAGAAAGACATCATGAACACGCTAAGTACAGATACAGCGAACTTCTTTGTGTGGGGTCCGGTGCAACTCTGGAGGCAGCCATGTCTGTTTGTATTATTAGAAGACGAGCGTAATCTTTCCATATTTGGAATTCGCATTTCCTAATATGGTGGGATGAAAATACCCAGTGCACTATCGCAAAATTACAGTACGCTGTAACTTGTGGCGTTACGATGACATATGTGTAATAATAATAATGGGAAGTACGACTTTTTGATCCACTAACATTACTTCATAGAGTAAAGAGCATCGTCTGACGTCATACACGAAGGAAACAGCGCCATCAATATGTAAACACTGTATGTCAATTGAACATAGTGCCCTTTTGGTCATGCCTATTTTCCAAAAGTGCTCTTTGCTTTGACTTCTCTAGCAGGATTAATATATATTAGCACCTTTTGTGTTTAGTTACAAGTAAAACATGTCTTGTCCTCCGTGTTGTAAATTTGAAACGGATTGCGAACCTCCAACAAAGAAAACACGATTTGTAAGTTTAACTGGTGACCAACTAGATGAGATTGAGGGATTGAAGGACGAAAAAAATAGAAAAAATCAAACAGGATGGGGAATAAGAATTATGAAAGGTGAGTGTCTTGTTTTCATTTCGCCGGTAAGACGATACTGTTTACAATACGGTTTCAATTTTACTGAAACGCTGTTTCCTATTTTTTTAAACAGACTGGCTAAGATCAACTGGGAAGAACCCTGAATTCGAGCATCTGAGTGTTGAAGATCTCAACAATGTTTTACGACAGTTTTATGCTGAGATGCGGAGTCAAGCAGGAGAGAAATACGGGAGATCGAGCCTCGGTGCAGTGCGAGCGGCGATCAACCGACTTATCAACTCACCACCATATAATCGCAACCTGAACATTATGCAAGACCGTGAATTCAACACTGCCAACAAAACCTTCAAAGGTTTAATTAAACAACTTAAAATAGAGGGACTTGATAAAGTTGAACACAAAATAGCAATCTGCAGGGACGATTTGAAGAAGTTGGTCGACACCCAACGTGCTATCGACAAGTAATCCAGTTAGTTTAATTAGAAAAGTTTGGTTTGATTTAACTTTTTCATTTTGGGAGACGTGGCCGGGAAGGAATGCAAATGATAACCAAGAATTCGTTTAGGACAAAATTCGATGCCGATGGAAAGAAATTCATTGAATATGCTTTTCAAGAAAAAACAAAAAATCATTCCGACGATGATTACGAAGCCCGGGCAAAAATGTATGCCACCAATAACGAACGGTGCCCTGTAGCGGCGTTCGAATTTTACCCAACAAAATTGCACCCGGGTAATTGCCATCTTTTTCAAAGACCACGAGATGACGTAGAATTCAACGACGATACATGGTATTGCAATTCTCCTCTGGGGATAAATAAATTAGGGGAGATGATGAAGGTTATTTCGAAAGCTGCAAATCTGTCCCGAGTGTACACCAACCACTGTATTAGAGCGACGGCGTGCACAGTCTTTGATTCGGCCGGAGTTGAGACAAGGCATATCATGTACGTGTCCTGTCACAAAAACGAGGCGAGCATCCGATATTACACCAACAAACTTACCTCAGAACAACGACAAAACTTGTCGGGCATACTGTCATAAAAGCCTTGGTTATACCAAGGATGTATCCAGATCGGATGTTGAGTCTAAGATAGCCGTGCCGGTCACCGTACATGATACACCACCGCGGATTCCCCCACCACGTCCCGCTGCGTCTCAAACTTCGGTCGAAACAAGTACTGCTGAACGTCAAATATCCACAGTTACAAGCAGTATGATGAGTCAGACATCCGGTTTATTTCACAACTGTACATTCAATGGGCCTGATGAAC